TTAATGACAAGAAAATATGTGTGATGTTTAGCACAAAATTTTGGTGAATTTGTTTTTTGAAGAGGGTTGCCATATAATTACAAAAATAAAAAATACTTTCACAATTTTGAATTACAAAAATAAATAATTACAATCAAATCGCTTAAAATTGGTTAAATAAAACAATTAACAAATAAATCATAAAAAAATAAAAACAAATAATAATTAAAGTATATATCACATAAAAATCCAAAATTTCAAACACAAATAGAAAAAAAACGACAAAAATCAGTTGTATTAAATCGGAAAATCAAGCTGCATAAAACTGTTTGTCAGCTTAGTTAGGTATATTGAAAATCAGCCCAACAAATGGGGCATAGCAAAAACAGACATATTGGCGATCGAGTAAATTTGCTTAAAAATATAATCGAAGGCAAAAAAATGTTTTGGCGATAATTAATTATTTACACGGCTGCAATATTTACACTATGTCGAGTCAAACTGTAAATACGAACTATTGCCAATTAATAATCTCGGCAAAATAATCGTAGAGAGGACTTGTTTAAATTTTTGTTAGAGGAGGATCAAACAATTTCAAGATGCTCAACTTTAAATGAATCCAAAGTACACTTGAAGCAAGAGAAAAAATAGCGGGTTTTCCGATAAATAAGCCGGTTCTTGGAGAGAAAAAAGGTGTACAAAATTTCAGTTGAATATCTCAAAAAGTGACTGATTAGTTCGTATATATACGGACCGACAGAGGAACAGCGCCAAATCGATACAAATCGTCGCGTTGAGCCTTATATAATACATGGTATTCTTTATTGGATTTCCGACGTTTGCTTCTGGGTATTATAAAGATAGATCAAAAAACATCGCATTAAAATCTATAAATTTCCGATAATTTCCGGCAAAGGCACTATAAACAACCCACAACTGTTAAAACTAAACTAGCGCTACATAAATATGTCTGTCTGTCGCTTTCAATGGCAATTATTATGACTTCAAAGCGCCAAACTTAAACGATAATGATTGCCTCTATATGCATATGTATTATGTATGTACTATTTATGAGTGCAAGTACGTATGTATTTGTGTGACACTTAAACTAAATTAAATGCTACGAAATAAATAAGAAATAAGAAGAAGAAGAAAAGTGTTGTACTCACTTGTTAACTCATTTGTCTCATCCCCGAACGACAAAAACTTATTCATATCTTGTGTCTGCTGCTGTGTCGGTGTCTGTGAGTTCTGGTGGTTTTGTTGATGTTGTTGTTGTTGGCCACAGAGTATTGCTGCTGTCACCGTTGTTGGTGTTATAATGGAATTGGTTTTAGCAATGTGTTGTTGTTGGCGATTACACAACTGCGAAATCGGCGTAAATACGGAAGCCGTCACCGATTGGGCGCGCGGAGCGGCGTTCAACGTCGGCAACGACGGTGCATTTGCTGCACTCACGAATACCGACGAAGTGCTCGTGGTCGATGGTACAGGTGTTGGTAGTGGCGGCGATGACGCGTTTGTTGCTGCTGTTGTAGCCGTTGTTGTATGCGTACCGCTCAAATCGGCCAATGTAGCCAGACGAAATACCGATGCGGTAACCGACTTGGGGCGTTTCTCTTCGAGCGATTTCGCAAGAAGCAAATTCTTATTGCTCGACACACCAGTGTTGTTATTATTGTTGTTGTTGTTGTTGATGGTTTTATTGTCGCTGCCGTTTAAATAATTCGATTGTAAATTCTGACGCAATGGAGAAAGTGAATTTTCGCATACGATCGTTTTATTAGCGTCGATCAATTTGCTGGTGGTATTATCTAATGGGGGTGTTGCGGCGCAATTGTTATTGCCTGAGGTAGTGGTTATGGTATTAGAGGGATTTGCGTTAATTGTTGCACATGTTTTTTCGCATTTAATGGAGGAACATAAATTATTTGTATTGTTACTGTTGTTGTTGTTGTTGGTTATGTTTATTTTACGATCTTCGTTGAGATCATTGTTGTCGGTGGTTGGGTTGGTTTGCGTTGACGGTGGTGAGTTGGCTGCTTTGATCGAATGCAATTCGATTTTGCAAGATTTATTAAGGTCTTCTGGATTTTCTTGCTCTTTTTTCAGTTTTGTTTCTTTACTGCACTCTAATATTTTCTGTTTATAGTCGTCAGTTGAATTGTCGTTGTTGCTGTTGCTGCTGTTATCGTTGATATTCTCTGTGAGATTGTTGTTGCCACAGCTATCGCCAATGTTGCTTTGATCGCTTTCGCTGTCGCTTGCCTCAACTTTAAGCTTGCTTGCCTCGTATTGTGCAAGTGAATAAATCTCATTGTTGTTCTCAAGATTGCTGTAAAAATTTACACATATCGCGAATTTTACATTATGGACTTTTTTAGGTTGTATTTTTATTGGTAATCGCTTTGGCGATTTTCTCGTGTAATGCACGCACACTCGTACACAATAATGGGAAGCATGAAACACTCGCGATTTGACGGATAGTGAGAATTGATTGACGGACGTTTTGAATATTTGCACTTTTTTGATATGGAAAATATATGTATTTCATGACAATTTGATATTTGTATTTTAATTTGGCGTAAATATTTTTCACTTTCTTTCATTTGGGAAAATATTTTTTTCTTATTCTTGATTGAAAGTATTTTTTAAATATTTTTTAAGTTGTTATTTATTTATTTCGTTATTTTCCAGTGTACGATATATAACTTTGAACTGAATTTTATTTTATTATTTTGTAATTTATTTTATTTTATTAAATCGTCTTAAATAACCTAATTAATTTCAATTCGAAGAAAATATATTTCTTTTATATGATGTTTTAAGTTTACAATTTTTCTTTCAATAATTTTCATATTGTTTATTTTTTTAAAATATTATGCTTCTAATATTCTTATTTTACTTTTCTTCACATCTTTTATTGATTTTCATAAATTATTTTATTATTTTATAGCATATACCATTTTAAGATAAACTTTTAGTGATTTGAATATAATTTTTTTATTAAAAAATATTTGCAAATATTTTAAAATGGTAAATATTATATACATTTTTTAATATTCGATATTTTGATGTTATGTTTTCTTTGGTAATCTTCACTATTTTTTTAATTTTCACTAAGGTTTTTTTCTGAAAATCTTTTTTATTTTATTCTAAGTATTATTTAAT